TGCCACATGACTGAGATGGTGAGTCTAAGGTACCCATGGAGAGTCCTTTAATAGTTAGGAAGTAGGGTGAAAAATGACAGTGTAAGGCAAAACTCATTCTAAATTCTTGAGTTAATTCTAACAACATTTCACCAAAACACATATGGTTTTGGTCAGCATCTATCATAATAAATTTCCAAATGTCCTAATAGAGGTCATTCTATATAACTATTAAGAGAGAAAAAAATCCTTTCCTTTATTGACTTTTTAATAGGTTAAAATAAATAAATAAGTAAATAAATAATTCTTAGAGTCAAATTATTTGAAATATGTTTCTAAAGCAGTCACCTCAGAAGGCAGGAAATAATTAGCTTTAAAAATATTGACTGCTTATTGTTTTATTAAAAAGTCCTTTAATGCCAGCTCTACCTCTGCAAAATTTGAGCTGGTACCTCCAGTTGTTTAGGAATGCCCCCAAACATCTGCTTCCAAGGCTTCTTCAACTTAGTTGGGTAGACTGTACTGAGCAGTCTTCGTCTCTGTGCTTCGTGCCATAGGCATACTGGGTTTCTGGAGATGAATTGTTCTAACGATGGTGCCAATTCCCACATTGTTTTACATACTGAGCAACAAGGTTGGTATAAAATAGAACTCAGTCACTCAACTCAGTGAAGACCAAAAAAGAATCAAACGAACAAATAAGTAGAATCCAACATTGCAGTCTGCTAGCAATGGCCAAACTAATATTCTAAGTATTTTTAAATACCTTTATCATTTTATTCTCATAGGTCTTCACAGTTTGTGGAGTTATTCTATTTAAAAAACAAAAGAAATGAAATACCAACAAAAACATTGTAAATAGTATGTGCAAGTTCACATGGCAAGATAGTAGAATCCCAGATCTTTAAGACTTAAAGAATATGTTTTAAAATGTATTTCATTCTAGAATGTTTCATTTTTAATACTCATGTTCTGTCACATTCTCTCATTCAGCCTAACACACACTCAATCGGGATTTTTTTTTCTTTTAAGATTTAAGATTGAATGCTGCATTGGTTATCTATTGCTGTGTAACAGATTACCACAAATTCAGCACTTATAGCATCTCCTTATTATATCACAGTTTTTGTGGATGAGGAATCCAAGCACAACCCGGCTAAATGTTCTGCATAGGGTCTTATGGGTGGAGGAGTTAAAATTCTACACGTAGTCACCTACATTTCTGAGGTTGAATTTTATGTCTCAACTAGGACTGGAGGCATAAATTGTCCCATGGCAATTTATCTCACTACCAAGTATCTGTGAGAGTAATCCCACTGCTTTACCAGTACAGAGTATGCTACTGTTTTTAAGGTGTTACCACATGGCAGATGTGGTCTCATTTGATCTTGATAACAAACATACGGAAGAGCAATAAGAGCTAATAATTAAAATCTGAATTTTTCAGGAAACAAATTGATAGGCAGACCTTCTTAAGGTTCCATGATTGGTAAGTGCAGATGGGAAAATAACCTGAATGAGACTCATGTTCTCTCTTGATTGCTGCGCAGAGATGAAGCAGGAGGGCCAGCAAGACACTATCCTGACAAGACCAGGAGGGGACCTGGATACTGGATCTCTAGGAAGTGTGGGAAAGCATGGTGAAGCCATGAGACACAGGATCAGGGAAGCTACTGAAAACCAAACTGTCAGGGAGTAGACAGTCCATTTGGTCTGGGTTATGCTGTGTTCATTTCCCAGATGCATCCTATGATGTGCTTTGAAATATTTCTCATTGGGGAATGTTCCCAAGATAAGAGGGTAAAATCAAATGAAAAAAAAAAAAAGAAATCTGATGCAGACCGAATTTGACTTCCATTAAACATTGCTTATAAACCTTCTAAAAGAACAAAAAGTATTTACAGGTGCTTTGGACTCAGAAGGAATAATAATAAAAAAAGTGACAAGCTTGTTTTAAATGTTCATTGCATTTGCCTGCTACTGACTTGAAAATTGAATGCTTATGTCATATGGAGAGCTGGTTTTTTTTCGTGGCACAGAGGCTGTCATTACACACTGTGAGAGAAAGTGTCTCCTGGGTCTCTCATCCTATTAGAAGGATTCCACATCACCTTCTTCTACAGGGGGGGGCTCCCAGCAACCACATGACTAGTCCGTGAACTTCCATCCAGACATAGCGGAAGGGATGGAGTGAATCTCTGCCCCAAAGCTGGGACAATCAGATCCTTTGTCCTTGGAACTGGGAACTGGTTGAGGTGGATCTCTTGAACTGAAGATGGGCACGTGGGGGAACGGTGGGGCAGTCCTCTTTGCTCTTGTATACATATATACCAAAGAAAAGAAGACCATAGAATAAAGTCAGTTAACTTAGTGAGAGAAGCAGAGCCAGAGGCCACGGGAAAGTCAGACAGCCTAAACAAAAGGTAACATCTAGGCTCGCCAGCTTCCCAGTTTCCAAGGCACTCCTTGTGGTGTCTGGCTAGCATCATCTTTGACTTCTTAGAAATAGTCCCTTGTTGTAGATTGAAATAATGTCCATAATATTTTGCAGTGAGGAAAGAGGAGGGTGTTTGTTCCTTGAATCTAAGCTGACTTTAGGAATTATTTTTGACTGTCAGAATGTGACATAAATGAAATTGTTGAATTTTAGTTTAGGTTTCAAGATCTGTTTTTTTTTTTTCTTTTTGGTGTTGTTGTTGTTGTTGTTAATGAGCCCTGTGACTACTAAGTGAGAATGCCTAGAGCCCCATGGTCCAATCCCTCCCTACAACTGGCTTCCTTTGCACCAGTTGACAGACTGCTAGCCCCCAGAAGTGGTTTAAGTGAGAACACACCAGATTATCTGGCTTGTAACTGACCTGCCAGCTATGTGAGATGCATGTGCAATCTCACCAGACACCAGATGAGCAGGAACAGACTAGAAAATCTACACAGCCAATCTAAAATTGAGTTAAATTAAGGGTGCTGTTTTATGCCATTAAGTTTTAAAGTAATTTGTTATGAAGTAAAAGCAAACTGATACATCCTGGTTCCCTTCCAATAAACTCCTTCCAACTTATTTTTTTTTTCCCTGAGCGTATTTGAAGCATGAGATTTTGTGTCTCTGTATGTTTTCACTTGTAACTAAAGATCATCAACTAAGAGAAATCCCATCAATAAGAGAGGGCTAAAATTAACAGAGTGATGGAGAGAATATGAAATTGGTTAGCTGAGTCAGTCAGGACAACATGCAGAAAGATTGACTTCATTTATATTTTGTTGTAGTGAAGCACTCGATTAAGCAAGAAACCCATCCAAACACCAATGGATGTTATAAAATATTTCTCCTATCTTTGACCTTGTAATCCTTTTTCCACAGGTTGCAATACATTCTCTGATCTGGTAACCAGTCTGTGGTGTTGCAACAAAGATTTTTGCTTGTTTTTTTTTTTTTCTCTGAGTGAAAGTGTTTGTAGTTCTACTAATAGCTCTCTAACCTTGCAATTTAATTATAGAGTTGCCGAATAGAAAGGAATTCTGTCTGCACAAAATGGAGCCTAATCTAAGGAAAATTGGACTAATCTGGGAATCATTCACTAACGAAGATAATCCCATTCGTGACACTTTAGACCCAGTTGTTAGAGAAAACTGATTGGATTATCTCCCTTTAGGGAGAGGGAGAATGAAGGTGTAGTTCAATGTAAAATGCTTTCATCATGCATGGCAGGGACATATTTCAATAAATGGGAAGAAACATAGGGACATGAATGTGGGTGTACATTTGTGTGTGCACTTGTCTACCAAAAGGAAGAATACACAATTTCTGGGGATACCTATACCTCACAGCTTCTCCTTTTTTCTGCATATTATTTCCCTCCTGAGAGAACTAAATTGCAAGCAACCAAGTTTGTACTACATAACCTCCCTATGAAACACCTGCATTTGGTCACATGCATACAGGAACTGGGGAGGGGGAGAAAGAAGAAAGGAGAAAGGCAGGGAAGGGAAGGAAAGAGATGCATGTACATGTTCCCCATAATTTCCCAGTAGCTACTTCTGGCTCATGAGTTCCACCAAATATTCTGGCATCTTATAATAAATTCCTTTAATGACTGAGCTAATTTAAAGTGGGAATCTGTTACTTGTAATCAAGAGAGCTTCAAATAGAAAAAAAAATCACATCAATGGGAGAGGCAGTTACTAGGAGTTTCTTAACAATAACATGATTTGCCTGTGTCTGGCTGTATCTGGTTTCTGGTTAATTTTATGGTACTGATGCCAGTAGTCAATCTGGGAACCTAAAATATTGAGTGCCACTTAAAATTTGGGTGACATCTTTATTTGCATTATTTCATTTATCTTATGAAGTGAAAACATTTAAAAAAATTTTCCAGGGAATATGTAAGTATTGTTTTTTTCTCCTGTGAGCTGAGTTTTGAATATATTCTTCATTAATCTATAATTCATTTTTCAAAAATGAATATAAATATCAGTTAACACAAATGTGATATAAGAAGAGTATTACCATAAGTTTAAAAGTTTATGTCTGCTTAACATCCAAAGTTCCTTTATCCTGTCTTTTTCTTCAGTAGTAATTCTTCCTAGAGTTTGTAAGTCAATAGAGTCACAGTTATTCACACAGGAAATGGAAACGTTGCATCTTTAAAAAATTATCAATTTAGATTTAACAATGTATGATGTATGGAGGCTTTCAGAGATCTAATCTGAAAGTAATGCTATTTAAACTAATTTCTTATGGTGGAGTCTAGACAAATAATTAATTAAAAAACCTTTATGAAAAGTAAAACATAAATACTTCAAAGACCGTGTTGGTAAAGTCATAGTTAAAGGCTGATAAGGAGATTTCCAGGTTGTCTTGATTAATGGTGACAACTAGATAATGCACCCAACCAAGTAATGCACCCCACCAAAGCAATCAAGAAGAAGTGATGGTCCTTAGTAACCAAGGCAATACCTGAATTGATTACTTTTGTCTGTTGTCAACATCATGAATTCTTTGATTATGACGAAGATTCACTAAGAAATCTGAAAGAATGACAATATTATTATTAAAATTGCCTTCACAAGGAAGGTTCTGAATGAGCTATTGAACACTCCTCCCCAAATAGGTAAAACTTCTTAGCAATAAATGAAAAGTCATGAAAAGACGAATCTTGCTGGATTACCTGAGGAGATGATTGCCCTTGCAGAATGGATCCAGCTTAATTTCAATGTGGTAAAACAGGTTTGAAAAGTTCTTCCAGGTTTCAACCCTGTTGTAAATTTTCAACTTATTCCCAGCACCTATTGGCATTGTCATAACATTTTAAACCTGCTAGCAATTAAAAGTTGCTCCAACTGACTCATTTAGAAGATAGAAAAACTGAGGCCCACGTAACCTGCCCAGCATTACAAAGTTAATTTGGCAAAACTTTAGAACCAATAACAGAGCAGGTCTTTTTTGAGTGCTCATTATACAGTAGGTACTATGCTAAAAGTATTTTCTCTCTTTTGAGCCTGACAATCCTATGAGGATTACATTATCATTACTCAATATTATTATCATTTTACCGTTGAAAAAATAAGGCAACAAGTAGTTAAATACCTTGCTCAATGCTTTGCAGCCTGGAAGTGGCAGCTATGTTTGCATTATGGTCTGACTATTCAAAGCCTAGGTTCCCACCCACACCCCCAGGCCATAGATAATCCCACCTCACCATCATTTTTCTATGCAATCCATCTCTAATCCAAACTTTGTTAAGACCTCACAGAAAAGTTCTCCAGCCAAAGAATAGTTTGTATTTTAACAACAGGCAATATAGTTCTGTGAAGATATTCTTTGATAATAGAATTTAAAAGGCACGCTTGATTTGAACAGTATGGCATTAAATACTAAGTAACAGTATGGCATTAAATACTAAGTAACTTTATCAAGTAGGATAGAGGAATTTTGTTATAATTCAAGGGAATGACCCAACTCTTAATATTTAACAATAATTATAAATTTGAACATAATATTCTTATTTGGAGAATATTTTATTCACTGTGCATTTAGGTATTAGACTAATTCTCGATGGAAAAATTCACCAGACAGCTGTGTATTCATTTGCCATATGCCATGTTCTCTCGGAGCCAGACATGATGAAATCTGATTTACATTTGGGAGAGACCAGCTGCCTCCTCCAGCAAACACAATCACTCAGCACTAGTGTAGGGAATGGGAACCCACTGAGAGCTGAATGATTCAAACATAAAGCAACTGGTTTAGCAGGAAGATATATTTTATTCAAAAACTATGAAAAGTAATGAGTATTTCTTTTTCAGTTATTGTTATAATAGAAATTACAATAAAACATTTTAATCTTAATTAAAATAAATTAATTAAAAGAAATTTAATTGTTTATTATAAGAGATATCATATTTTTTTCAATCACAGGTTATTATAACCTACAGTCCTAACAATGGCTAGTGATGGAAACCTATTTTATGGATTCCAGACCTTTCTCACTTTGACACAAATATTCATGTGCGGGACAGAAATTTTTTGAAAGCTTAATATTCTAATCTGTCATAAAGATGATGATATGTTTAACTCTTGAGAAGGAACACTGAGCAGAGAAGAGAGAAGACTGGTTTGCATTTTAGCTTGGCCAAATGTGTGGACCACGTGAAATACTTCATGCACCCTCATGTGCTTCACCTTCTACCTTTAAAAATAACAATAGCAGAAGGACACACTTAGCATTAGGATATGCCCTGCACAGTTTTAACAACTTTTCACGTTAACTTTTTTCAATCTTCAAAAATCCTCCAAGGTAAGTATTAGCATTATCTTAATTTTTATAGGTAAGGAAACTTGACAGTTTATGCAACTTTGCCTCAGTTACACTGTGATGAACTAGAATCTGTTTTAATCACAACTCACCAGGTAGTGGTGTATGTGCGTATTCTACATGTTTAAATAATCTTAACCACAACTCATGTTCATCAATTGCTAGGTTAGGATCTCTGGACGGGTAAAAGACCTTTTCTTCCTTTCATTTTTCAAAATTAGTTCTAATCAGTTATACATGACAATAGAAAGCTCTTTGATTCATGGTACACAAATGGAGCAGAATTTTTTGCTTCTCTGGTTGTACGTGAAAGACAAATGATAGAAACATTCTTAAATTGGTATAAGCAAACAGGAAATTTATTTGCTCAGTATAATACAGAATCTTTCCCCATTTCTCAGTTTTTCTTTCTTCTATTTAGAGGTTATCCTTAGGAGGCTCTCCCCTAGGTTGGATCCCAGCAATTCGAGGTCAAATCTCTACAGCCTGTAAATCTCTAGGTCTCACCTATTCTGATTGGTGTGTCCTGGATCATGGGCCCATCCCTGAACCAATCACAGTGACCAGGAGAATGAGATGTTCTGATTGGCCTGGGTCACGTGAACGCCTTGGAGCCAAGAGTACATTCTGTTGGACCTGAACCATGTGAGTAAGGAGATGGTTCTTCAAGGAAAATCAGGGTACTACTACCAGAGAAAGGGGGATGGGAGCTGGGCTGGCAATAAAATGGCAGGTGGCCACCTCAATTAGATTGTTAATTCAACAATTTCCAGCATTAATTTCCTATAAATTTCTGCTAATGGGGGCGGGGTGGGAGGCAGTGGTAGAGAAGGGAGAAGAAAAGATTATGGTGTGTATATAAATCCTGCCCACATTTAAATTACCAAACTTCATTCTTCCCTAGGGACTTCAAGGACTCCTTTGCTACAGAACTAAGATGACTAGAATAATGAAGGACAAAAATTTATGTGGGAGTTTTCTTTTCATGTTATAACATTGCAGTAGTTTTTAAAAATGGCAACGACCTGAAGTCCAATATTAATGATTGGTAAAATAAGTTATAGTATATCAGTGTGACAAAATTACTGTGTACTGTTAGAAATGATGTTTCAATGCATATTTAATCATACTAAAGCTATATTGTTAGAAAAAATAATGCATGAGAAAAAACATAGTATGCTCCTGATTTTATTGAAAAACAAACATCTGTTTTCTATCTATATAGAATAAAAGCACTGGGACAGAAATTCAACAAAATTTTCAATAATGAATACTCCTTGGTGGTAACAATATGAGTAACTTTACTCCTATTCTCTATTCTTTCCTGCATTTCCAAATTTTATGCAGTGGATATGTAATATATTTCTAAGGAAAAAAAAGTCTTATAGTAGTTTGAATAAAGGACTTTGAACTTTACCTGTTTCATATCCCCTAAATTTGTGTCAATTTAAAGTGAGAGAAGAAATGTAGATAGTGCAAGAATCAAACAAAAAGCACTCTTTGAAATAACCAAGAGTTGGTTATATTTGCCAATTTCAAAATGCTGCTTTGCAAGTTCTTTATTTTATAACATAAGGCTTTATTATATGCTAGAAGAATATTTATACTGGTGCATCCAATTTAAGAACACTTGATATAATGTCAGAAAATTCAGGCTAATAAGATAAGGATAATTATATTACAAAAATAGCAATTATATTCCAATATCACATGTTCATTGCAAAATCCTGCTAGATATATGGAAACCCTCTCTGTGCATTTTAAGTATGTCTCAGTTCTCCCAAATGTGATTTGCATGCCAATTTTCAGGGGAGGATATCTAATATGCCATGCAAGATAAAATTAAACCATATAAAATTATTGTGGAAATTGGAAGTATCTGGATTTGATACATATGCTTAAAACATAACTGATAAAAATCACATCTGTTTAATTGTCAACAAAGGATCAAGGAGCAACAGTTGAAATATGTAATCATCTTCATCATCTTATGCCTTTAGATTTCAGCATAATTTTACATATATATAATTTTATCCTGGTAAGTCTGTTATTATCATTACTCCTATTGAGAAGATTAGGAATGTAACAAATAAAATCTTTTTTTTCCAAGGTCAGATATAGAGCAAGATATAGAATTCAGGGCTCCTAATTCTTTGTTTGCTGTTCTCATATCACCAGTTCTTCTATCTGAAATATAGAATTACATTCTCAACATAAATAAAACGAATAAAATCTTGACTTTGCATGGAAGTTTATATTTTATAGATTCTTTTACATAGATTATTTATGTGTAAGAGCATTATTGGGAGATTGTAAGAATTGAGAGAATTGTGAGAATTGAGTCCTTATCAAACAGCTTTTCACACATGAATTTATTGTGGCTGACAACCTCTAAGCTGGCCCTCAATGATCTGGGTCTTCCCTAGATTCATTGTGTAATACCTACTCCTTGATTATGGGCTGGAACCAGTGTCTTGTGTCCAGTGATTGGAATACAGCAGAAGTGATGGGACGTCACTTCTGAGATTAGATAATGAAAAGACAGTGGTTTCCATTTTGGAATCTCTTGCTCTTAGCTTTTCCTCAAGGTCTTCTTTAGTTGTGTTAAACTGTATGATAGGATTGTATTTATGGATTAACTCCACTTCAAATTCTTATGCCAGGTGACAAATATTTCTTTGAGTGGGGCCACGTTCAACATTAGAATCTGTACTATGTAATAAAGTTTAAGATGGATGTTACCTAAGTGTATAATTCTTGTTCATCTATAATAATACAGAAGACAATTAATTACAATAACAAACCTTGTTGTCAGAAATTGTGGGGTGATAAATACTATTGAATTCAGAAGGATAAGTTTTGGCATTTCTCATTGTTCTGGACTCCAATGACATTTTTTTTTTTAACTTTTAGGCATGTTTTCTGCCCACTATTTTGCAACTTCATTATAAATCTCTAGTATTAAATTGCTGATAACCAGCAAGCTATTGGACTTTGTACATTTTGTAGGTAGCCATCTTAGTTAATTCTCTTCTAAAGGCATTTAAATTTATTCACTTGATTTTTTGTAAGTAATCATGCCATTTGTAAATAGCAATATAACTTCTTTCTGACCAATATTTATAAAATCTCTTCCTCCTTCCCCTTCTTCATTCCTTCCTCCCTTTATCACATTGATTAGAACATTCAGATAAATGTCAAATGATGGTAAAAGCAGACATTCTCAGATCTCTATTGTGTTTTACCAATAACATCATGTTGGTTTATTGTTT